TAACATAAAACACGTTTGTAATCATATATGAAAGAATAGCAACCTATTGTTCATGCATGTGCATGGATTCTTACTTGCGGTACAAGCTACCTATTCATATCTACCAAAATACAATGTATTAGTCCTTCTAATAAACTTTTGTTTGAGGTACATAAATGTCTACATATTACAACGTAAATAGCCATAATATTGCTACACAGTATTTAGTGGTTCGCGACAAGTTTTACGATTGTGTCCCGACGTACCACATCGACTGCACTTGCGCGGTGGACGGACCTCGCCTGTGGAAGGAATCCTCACCGTTTGTCGCCGTCCAACCTTAACGACCTTCTTCGGTGGTTGAACATCGATATTCACAAACCCCGGAGAACTCTTCCATGTTGAGGATGAACCCACTGGAAATATTGGTTCTGCATATGCCAACATCCAGTTGTTGACCGTGTACGCCTCATCGCATAGTGTGTACGGATTTATGCTACGAGAACTGGCTGCAGCAATAGCATGGGAGCACGAGACTTTAAAATAATCAAACTCCCGACAAGTACACGTCTGCGATTGCAAGTCAACGTCCCCAGAGGTTCCCGTCGCGTACCTCAAAATTAAACTGGTCGATGTTCATAACAATGTGTCTCCGTGCATTATCCGGAGCTTCGGCAATCATTTCCTCTGCGTAGTCAGACAACGTACTCTGACGTGAAGAAGCAAGCGTCCGACGTTCGTAGAACCACCTCTGCAACACACCTCTGATATGATCAAGTAATGCGATGACTGGCAACTTACGTGCATGCGTGAAAAGGGCATTAACGGACTCTGCAATATTGGTGGTCATCTGTGAGTATCTTAGTTTCGTCTGAAAGCAGCGAGCCCATCGTTCCTTTCCTATAGCTTCCAGATATTCCCTCACTCCTGGGTGTGCGCACAGTTGGACCCAGTTCTCATTGAAATATGACTCGCGAAATGCTTTCGCAGCCTTAAAAAATAATGCCTCCAACGCGGGCGTTTTAAATTTGGCCAGCAAGCTCATATTTAGATGATGTATACAAAAGCAATGAAATGCAGTAGGAAATACCTCATCAATCGCTTTACAAATGACGGCATGTCGATCAGAAATGAAGACCAAATTCTGAACGGTGTCGACAACACTCTTCAATTGAGTCATAAACCATACCCATGATGCGACGCTCTCACTCCCGACTACTGCAAAAGCAACTGGGTATATTTGGTTATTCGCATCAACAACAGAAGCAGTTAGTAATACACCTTCGTACTTCCCTTTAAGGTGTGCCCCGTCAATAACCAAAACTGGTCGAATGCAACACATAAAACCTCTAATTGATTGACTCATGGCCACGAAGACATATTTGAAGTACTTGCTATCATCCAACTCCAATTCAAATATAGTACCTGGATTCATGATTTTCACGGCTTCCCCATAAGCGGGTAGTAGCCCGTACGATGAAGCTGGATCCCCTCTGATAAGTCGGAGTGCTTCTTCGCTCAAACGTCAGGCCTTGTCGTAACTCATATTTACACCATACTCCTCACGAATATCTTGCATGATGTCCTTCGGCCTGTACGTGCAAGAAACATCAGTAAACTTTGATTGTACTAGATGACCGACCACCCAACTCTTCGCCTGACGATGATCCTGTTTCATAACGGCACCATTGCACTTATAGTGGACTGCGATATATTTCTTTATCTTAAACAGATTGCAATCTCTAATCTTAGTGGCTCTAAGT